GAATGATGAGGGCTTCAAAGGATGAACAAATTTCATTGAATTAGAACGAAAAGATTCCAAATTTCTTTTGAATAGCTTTGAGAATCTATATACATTGCATTCTGTGTTCATCGTTTGTTTGTTCCACTTCCACAGATTTGATCTAATTCTAATAAATTTTTGGTGCATTGTGCTAAGTCTTTATGATCATTTTTACTGTTTGAATTCTTTAGGACTTGGACTTGGCCTTTTTAGTGATTGTTAATGGGATATTCTCTATTGCATTGTGGTAGTATGGTTTCTTCATGTCTTTATCAAATCAGAGAGCTTAGGTTGCAATAGCACATTGTGTGATTGTGTAAACTATCTGAGTGTGTACTTGACATGCTTCACTTATCTCCTACTTCGATCAGTTAGTTTCTCTGATATTTTGTGCCTGGAGATTCACTACGGATAGTTCAATCAGTTTGATTCGTTAAGTGTTATTACTATGAGATTACTACTTTAGTACTCTGAATCACATGGCATTCTTATGGAACCTTGGATGATTTCTTAGGATAAAGTATCATTCAAGTACTGATTTGTGGTCGGTTTTTAGAGAGTTGATGTTTCTTTCAGTTATCCTCGGAATGTCTGGTCCTTTTTTTGGGTATACTGGTGAGATATCTGATGGATTTTTTAACTTTTCGACCAACATTATATCTTGAGTTAGGTAAAGAAAATGTCGGTTTTTTCTACTTTATTTGTATAGCTAGAAATGGTTTAACTTTCATCAAAACTCGAAATGGTAGAATTGGCTCATAGTTAGTGATCAGTCTCTCTATGTTGACATTCAAAATTTTGCAATTGCAGCTTGTAGTAATATACATCAGAAGAATGAAACTAGCCAATGCCGAGTTTGATTCCGAGTATTAAGAGCTTTTTTTCCCACTTTCACTGCATCGATAGGGTTGTTGCTCCAAGCCTCCAACTCTGAACTTTAACCGCATTGATACTTGGCACACGTTTGTTGTGAATCGCTAATTTTTATTCACCAATGCTGTAACCTTAGAGAAAATGGGTTATGATCTTGAATCTGATAGGGTTTTTCGTTGCTTTCGGATCATATTCTGTTCTTTCTCGATGAAACAGAGCAAGTTCCTCTGTTATCTGTTCCAAGGTTATTGAGTTTATGTAGCTTAATGGATTCGGATTATTTGTTCGTGTTTATTAGTATTCATACTACAGCTTAGTCTGTGTTTTTCCTTTGCATTGCATATCATAATTGAGTTTAAGATAACAAATAAGGAATTCTGCCATAAATCTCACTTTATTGGCTCTAACAATAACAAATCTCTGGAATCGTCACAAAAACACAAAAACACGAGAGGTCAAATATCTTAAAGACTTTGAAGCTAACAACACCTAAGCATGAAACATTTAGAAACTTCATGTTCAGCTTCAATTGCGTGGGGGAGAATTAGGCACAATGCGTGCGCAATTATCCTTGAGAAGACGAGGGAAGAAAGGATTCAATGGGAACATTTGGGGCCAACAATTTGCATCTATGGTGGAAAACGTTTTGCAGCAAGTGGCTCCAATGTTACCAAATTGGCCAGCGAAAATCGAATTGTAGATTTCAAGTACGCATCCTTGAACATTGAACAGAGCTGACCAACACTTAATCGGAACGATCGGAGAAATTGGTGGGAATATACTGGGAATTGTTGGCTGCGGTTGAGCTACTCCCGGCGTGACTAAAACGGCAGCGCATAAGGCTATAGCGAGGATCAAAGAAGCAATGGCTTTGGATTTGATCTCCATCTCTAGTTCTAATTCTACCTCTCTTTTTTTGTTGTTATTCTTTCCTTTTAGCTTGAGGTTAGGTGCTTGGATGGTTTAGAAGTAGGAAGAGAATTTAAATCTATAGGGTTAGAAATAGAAAGGTGAGATTAATTAGTTCAATACGAAACGTATAAAATATATAAGTTTCGTCTTTCGTGTGTTTTAAAAGAATATAACTCGTAGTATGTTACAAACTTTGTTTAGTAGGTTTTTCTTTTCCATACGTTTTAGTTTGACTAAAGTATTTTGTGATCTTATATCTTCATTGTGAAACGTAGAAAGTTATTACTTTGTAAACAATGATGAAAAAAAAAGATGATAATCAGAGCAAATGAATTGTTTTAGAAGAATATATAAGATAATATGTTTAATTTTAATTTTCAAGAAAAAAACTAACATTGAAGCTCATGAAGCACAACAATGTGATCACACGCTCATTGTTATTGCCAACATTTTCCTCATATGTCATATTCTTTTTTTTTTTTTCACATGTCATATCCAAAATCATTATAAATCAGATTTTCATATATTCTTTTGGTTCAGTGGTATCTTTAATTCATGTGGTTGAATCTTTAGTCAATTTTATTTTCCAAAGAATCATTATTGTGGTCTATGAAAAC